TGAACTCCTGATCCTCCTTCTCTGCTTCTTGAATATTGAGATGGAAAGTGTTTGCTACTGTTACGGGCTTTGAACAAATATTTTCTTGTTATTCTTACTTAGGAAATTCAGTACAGCAACTACTTCCATTTACATCATGTTAGACATTGCAAATACCGCATAGAAATGGGGGACTATGAACACATTAAATACAAATATTTTATCACCTTGTGTAAAGGTCTTGGGCTTCTGTAGCTTTTGGTACCCAAGAGGAATCCTACACTAATCCCCTGCTAACACCGAAGGGGGTAACTAGGCTCCATGTATTTATGGACGGTAGTATGAAGTGTTGATACATGAATGTACTGTGGGTAATCCAGCATGTGTGTCTGGAAGTCAGCCTGATTAGATACAGACACTGACAGTTTGTTCACTTGTACTGTCAGAGGTAAGGAGGGCATGGTTTTTAGTTTTATTTTTTATTTTAAAGTAGTTTTTACTTTAAAGTAATTTTTCTCTTCCTCATTAAAACAGCATAAAACAATGATAGGTTGTATTTTTACTGAAAAAAAATCCTTTCATTGTCCTTTCTATATTTTATGTTACTTTTAAACAGTGTGTTTGGTGGATAGGTATGCAAAGAAATTTTATTCACAAAGAAATGTGTTGCAGTCACTTTCCCTTAAAAACTAACAGTAGTTCCCAGTTTCTATGCTGGGGAGGCAGTCTTGCCTTTTCATGGTAAGTGGTTGGTATCCGCGTTCCCATCCACTGTCCAGTTAATTTCAGTGACCAGCCCCCTGCCTGCTACCCAGTTAATGCCAGGGTTAATGCCAGTGGCCAGCCCCCTGCCTGCTACCCAGTTAATGCCAGGGTTAATGCCAGTGGCCAGCCCCCTCCCCCCTCCCCTGCCCTCTACCCAGTTGATGCCAGTGGCCAACACCCTTGCTCAATACTCAGTAAATTTCAGTGTCCAGCTCCCCTGTTATGACAACCATGCTTTTTAGTCTCTGGACAGTGCCAAATACTCCCTGGGGTGGAAAACTCACCCTTGGTTTAAACCACTGTGCTAAATAAATGTTTCCTTCTGTCTCTGTCAGTGTTTAGGGCCAACTAGGGATTTGTGTGCCACTTATATTTAATTGTGCATTTAACTCTGCCCAATCCACTGTAGTTATTTTTATGACTGGTTTTCATTAATCAAGTTATATTACTCCTGTGATTATTTTTTAAGTGGCATTTTAGAAGGAAGGCTGTTAGAAGACGTTAGAGGAAAAGATGGATAAAGCTTTCTCCTGGAAGAAATTCTGCACACACATTGGTAATTCTTAGAATTATCAGTAACCACCATCACCAAAAGCTGATATGTCTTAGGAAGGAACATTCTTTTACTACTACTGCACTTCGGCGTGTGTGTGTGTGTGTGTGTGTGTGTGTGTGTGTGTGTGTGTGTGTATGCATGCTTGCATCTCTTAGGCATCTGTGTTTGAAGGAGTAATTTTCTAGAATTTAGGTGTTAGAACTAGTAGCTCAAATATTTGTGTGCATTTTCTTTGACTGAAACAGATAGTTTCCCTTCGTCCTTCATTCACCAGGTTGTGTATGTAATTCATTACTGGCCTTATTTTGAGATTGGAAGAATATGAGAATTGAGGGAAGTAAAATATTCCTTAAATATGCCATATTTCATAGTCCCCCCCCACAACAGATATATAAAAATGACCCTGTTGTCTGTAATCTAATAAATGGTATGATTCTTTTTGATTTATCGCTTGCATGGTATTTTAGTTCATGTTGTCACATACAGACAAGTACATTCACCTGCTTGCCAGACAACTTTGCACAGTGTGTATAGAACTCTTTCTGGCATGGTCATATATTAAAATGTATTCTTTGTAATATATTTGGAAGCTGGAAGGGTTCATTGTCATGGCCAGTATGTAAACATTCTGTGTCACCAATTTGAATAGCCATGGAAAAGACTTTGGTGTAAAAAATCAAGTATAATCTAATTCTTAAATTATGTGCAGACTGCCAGGTCTGCATTTTGATGCACTTGCCACTATATGCAAAGTCCTTTGTATGTTACTTAAATTTTATCTTCTTATCTAGCTGGGAGTAGTGGTTGCATACCTCTAGTACTAGCATGCAGGAAGCAGAGGCAGGCAGATCTCTGAGAGTTCAAGGCCAGTCTGGTCTACATAGTGAGTTCCAGGCCAGCCGGAGCTACATAGTGAGACCCTGTCTCAGATAGATAAATGGGTGGGTGGGTGCATGGGTGGATGGATGGGTGGGTGGATGGATGTATGGATGTGGATGGATAAAAAGATCATAGGTACTAGATAGGTGGTAGATAAATATATAGATGTTAGATTATAGATAGATGATAGGTAGTAGATAATCATAGATAATTTGATAAATAAATGATAGATTGATAGGTAGAGAGGTCGATTGTGTGTGTGCATGCTTACGTGCATGAGAGAGAGAGTGGGAAAGAGAGAGAGAGAGCGAGAGAGAGAAAGGATAATATTAAATCTTCTTGCCTAACGTTCAAAATAACCCCCAGTTAGTCTGTTAATTCCTAGACTTTTTTCATCCTGTGTAACATCAGGCTGATGACATTATTTTTAATCTGTTTGTGTGCATGTGTGCTCACTAGCCTTTAACAGTCTTACTTGGATGTGTAACTGCCCTTCCGCATTCTTGATTAGGACACGTTATCAGACTGCCTGTGGTAATTGTCATGCCATTTGTTTCCCTGCTCATTATCTCAGAACACTGTGTGCACTGGAATCTTGCTTGCTTTATGCAGCATACATAGCGATCAGCGAGGTCCTTATCCCATGCTAATCAATCACAGTGGCTAGCTGACTTGAAGTCACTCATTATTACCTGTATGATACAGGGCAGGATTGTGAAGGTTTTATTTTCACACTATCCTGTGCCCTATGTGTAGTTTATGAATTGGAAAGTGACAGAATCTAATGTATCTGCATAGCTCATCCCAAGAGGCCAAGTGCATTAGTCTGTAGTAGGCATGTCTGCTTTAGCAGAGTCAGATCCATGCACATCCCCAACACATTTACTCCATCTCTTCTAGTAGAATATTTGCCCTTTAGAAAGGTAATTATGTAGAGACTAATTAGTGGGCTTTTTCAGTTACTCTGGTGGTAGAAAAGATAAAAAGGGTTCCGACAGAGTTACAAAGATGAACCTTCAGGGACAAGCTAAGAGCCATAGTGTATAAGAGCCAGTGGCTCTGGAGACTTTACAAAGCATTTAACTAAGAAAGGCAATGAGGGAAGAGCCATGGCAATCAGCTTTCTGATGTTAGCAGCTGATACTGATGATGCTGTCTATCTAAGGAGAGGATGTTGGGTATTTGTTTTTGTTTTTTCTTTCATCTGTCTCACTTCTGGTGTGATTTTGAGCAGGAGCTGCTATACTCTTTGCAGTTTTTAGATGTGCTGGAAGGTTGAAGGCAGTGTGCTTCCATAGAAGTTGCATTGATGCTTGGTGGTGCGCAGACCATTCATTTCTGAAGAGCAGAGGCAGACCCTACTGCAGGAACCCCAACCTCCTGTAAAGTAGTGTATGAATGACCAAGTAGCCAGACGTTTCATTCTGAGCAGGATGATCTCAGGAATGGCAGAGGGTTGGGGGGAAACATGATGCCAAGTCTAAGGGAAGATGGAATCCAGGAAGGAAGATGAAGTCAGCCATTTTGATGGCTGTAGTTGAGTGGGAAGTTTACATAAGTTGGCAGTCCACATGGTGAAACATGGAGCCATAATACAGCAGAACCAGGGGGGTAGGCAGCCTTTTAGGTGGTGTTATTTGGTTGATTTTTAAATACCCGACCTCTTCAAAATGTAAGCTCAGAGATCAGATTTAGCAATTTAAAAAGGCAGTGGGAGACAATTAACTCTTCCCTTCAGGTCCCTCCCATCCTTCAAGGGTCTCATCACCTGCCAGCCAGGCTTCACTGAGGGTTGCAGATTCCTAAACATGAGTCCTTGGCAGACACTCAGCCATTCCTAACCATGGCGATGCTCAACAAACGCATGTTTTCACAATAGCTTTTTCTTTTCTCTGACCTCCAATTTACTCCTCTTTCAATAGCCAAGGAAGCTGCCAAGTGGAGTCTGCAGTTGGCATCCTAACATCAGTCCTTGGCCCACTACATGTACCTCGTGTCTGTAAGATACTCACTGTTTACAAGAGAACGGCCTAGACCAAGGCCCATTGGGAGGCTTTCTAATTAGTTCTGTTTCCTGACATCTTATTTTCATAGAAATGGTTATACTTGAGTTTCATTGATGTCATAAGGGTGGAGTTTGGGAATGCTTGGTTAAATTCTGTTTAAGGAGCCTCAGCGAGAGGTCCCTAGAGTCTGAGGGTCTGGAGAGGAAAGATGTACTTTAGCCTGGTAGACTGCAATTTGCAGAGTAGTCTGAAGCTCAAGTTCATTTGACTACTAAGGAGCATAGACATCGGTGGCCTTCGGTTCTTTGTCTTGTTCCTTTACGGCATCTGGAGCTGCCTTGGCTATTGAAGCACACTGCTTTTAGCCTTTTGCCTCTTGGGGCGTCGTGAACAAATATCACCCAAGCAACAACCAGCGAGAGAGGCATCTCATGTTTCTATGCATATATCCCTGCCTTCCAGGGTTTCCTTGGTGAAGGGATGAGAAAATTTGTGGGCCGGCAACAGGAATCCAGGTGGCTAGCAATTCAAGTGGAAGGGGAAGGAGTCTGGCAAGGGCAAGGATTATTGGTTACAGACGTCTGTTTGAAAATCTGCCTTAATACATTCTCATGGAACAGGGAAGGCTACATGGACACCTGTGTAGGATTTTTCCCTCCCGGGAGATCATCTCCTTCCATTTAGAGTTTAGTTTTACGGTGCCAGGTCAGCATTTTTATTGGGCTGCTGACCACTTTTACCATTGGAATATAAAACGAAACTGTGTGGTTTTCTGTTGCATTCAGACCCTCTCGGTCTCTTCTCTTCTCTTGCAGAGGGTTGCTGCTACAGGAGAACAGCAGGTTTACTGAAGCATTGCATTACTATAAACTGGCCATTGGGAGCAGGCCAACCCTGGCTTGTAAGTAGAACTGCCGTTTTGGAATCTTTCAGATGTCTCCTTTCATTTGTAATAATTGTCTTTGTGTGTTAGAGCCTTTCAGAGAAAGCAGCGAAGCGTGCCATTCTTACTTCTAAATATTTGTAAACATTAACAAGTCTCTGTCTCTGAATTTCATTCTTTAATGCCATTTCCAGTTTTTTGCCAAGTATTCTGATAGCCCAGTCTTCCCTTTAAGTAGATTTTGAGCTCAAAAAAAAAAAAAAAAAAAAAAAAAATGAAAAGACAATTCTGTTTTTAGGAATACTTGGGGATATTGCTGCCATCATTGCTACCTACATCCATTCCATACATGCATTTAATATTTTCTAATAAATAAGAAACATAATGTGGAACAGAGGTGGAGCCAACATACCTTTTATCCACGGTGCGTATCACCTCAACTTTCTGCTTGTTTCCCCTCTCAGCGGCGTATTTAAATACGGGCATTATTCTGATGAACCAAGGGAAGACAGAAGAAGCCCGGCGAACATTCCTGAAGTGTTCTGAGATTCCAGATGAAAACCTGAAGGACCCTCATGCACATAAGAGCTCTGTAACCAGCTGTCTGTACAACCTGGGGAAACTCTATCATGAGCAAGGACACTATGAGGTATGTCCACACGGCCCTGCTCCTGTTCTGAGGTAGCCTCGGTGTTGTCTAACCTGCAGCTTCCTTCCTGGGGCCACTTACAGTCTCCTGCAAAGCTAACCTGGCCATATTTCAATGTATGTTGACAAATGCAGTGACTTTTTAGCACACGCACACACACACACACACACACACACACACACACACACACACACACACACAGCTCACCATTTTTTGATTCAAGATACAGTTTCTAGAGCCATTACCCTTTTACTCCATGTTGGGTATTAAAAAAAAAAAAAGAAAAAAAGAAATTATTTGTACTCTGAATATTAAGAATGTAACTTAAGCTAAATGTGGAGGGAGTAGTAAGCAGGATATTGTCTAGTCAATTAGATGATTCCCCCATCCCCCACACATTTTACTCACAGAAACCACATCTGAATGGTCTCCTTCCTCCCTTAAACTGTCGTCTGTCATCACATCCTCATACGCTTAGCTATCTTAATAGTGCTATATGAGCCAGGTGGTGGCGGCGAATGCCTTTAATCCCTGCACTCAGGAGGCTGAGACAAGTGTAGCTCTGTGAGCTCGAGGCCAGCCTGGTCTACAAAGCAAGCTCCAGAACTTTTACACAGAGAAACCCTGTCCCAAAAAAACCAACCAGCCCACCAACCAACACACATGTACACATACACACAAACCTCCAAATTCAATATGATGAAGAAGGTTCTCCTTCTAGAACAATTTCACTTATTGGTTTCAGTAACTCCTGTCAGTAGGAAGATGTATTTGCTGGCTGGCACTTTATTTCTACCCCATGGGTTGCTTGAGTTAAAACATAGACTTGGGAAGATGACTAATGAATTACTTCTGAGTATGAATGTTTTTTAGCTCTTCTTATTGAGTAGTCTGTATGAGCTGAAAAAATTTATATTAAAAGTGCATTCCCAACATCCAGTTCCTTGTTAAGCATTTTTATGTGGCATTTCTCACTGGGCTGTTTTCTCGCGTGAACTTAAGGCTGTGTGATAGCAAAGGATGGCTCAGTTATTTTCCTCTAGTGAACCATTCAGAAACAGAAATGGGTAGTTTTAACTTTGAAGAACCCTTATTATCTTATTTTCAGTGCCCATGCCTGTCCTCTAATGATGATTTATCATTCTTTTTGTTCCCTAAATTAGGAAGCCCTGAGTGTCTATAAGGATGCAATTCAGAAAATGCCAAGGCAGTTTGCCCCCCAGAGCTTATATAACATGATGGGTAAGTACAACTCTACTGTTTTAATTGATTGTCAGGGGCTTGTGGAGAAGTAAGAACCTGTGTTTACGTGCAGTGGATTTCTACTGTCTTATTAGCAGTCACCGAGCAATGCTCCCACTTTGTGTTGTCCAAATTTTGGCAGAGCCCTCATCTTGATTTGAGCAAAGACATGAACTAGTACAGTATGCCCAACATATTTTGCCAAATACCATACTTTTTGCGAGGGACTGTCAATGTCGTTTGGGTACTAAGTAGTACTGTGCAATTAAAAAGTAACACCTTGTAATATCTCATAACATGTATGATTTTGGCTATATGTAGGTATGTGTAGAGTAATATATTTACTTCAATGAATTACCAGGTTTCTAATAATTTATTTAGCATATTATTCACTTTATCAGAAGATTGTCAGTACTCAGCCTGTAGTGATGTGGACATGCATGAAACGTGTTGCGTGTAAAAGATATATCTTGTCTTGTGTTGTTTTCATGGATAAAACCTTGGGTCCCTGTGGGATTTTTTTGGTTTTGTTTTTTGAGATAGTATTTGAGACTAGAATGAGAATGTGAATGTGGTAAATATGTTACTTCAGTTGTTTATCTGTTGAGTTGAGTGATCGATCTAATTCTATTTCCTATCAGAATGTATATAAATCTAGTATATAGATTTTTTTTCTGGTTGGTTCCAGAGGTGAAGAACTGGAAATTCTTATCAAGCTCTTACCACCTATGATTGATCCATTACTAATCAGGAAATGTTTCCATGGCTATTTGATAGTAGGCATGACTAAAACTCCCTGTGCATCAGGAGAGTCTAGGAAAAATGTCTATGTAATCTGGATGCCATGTTGATGGGATAGCATTGACTTTTCCCAGGAACTGGAGATGAGAAGGACAGCTTCTGTTCTCCAATCAAATATTTCCCTTTCTCCAAAGCAGAAATTGCAAAATAAGACCCGCCAATCATAAAACCTAATTAAGTCCTTTGATAATGCCAGAGCTCCCTCCTATATTTGCAATAACCAGGATTAGGCAGTGTGACCTAATATAAATCATGTCATTGAGAAATTTAATACTACCTGCTTGGTTGTGCATTCACACAAAGTCCCAAATGCCCCATGACTTGAATGCGTGTTTCTGAAAACAAAAAACAAAAACAAAAAATACCCCCTCATATTCTTTTTTTAAATGATAGGAAGTGTAGACATAGTTCAGATTTGGGACAATGCACACTATATCTTTCAGTAAACCAAAAAGAAAACAAAATGAGAAGAGGTTAATGATGCCACTCCATGGCTCTGGGAGGTGCACCTCCAACTGGTCTACCTAGCATTAAAGTGTTTGAATGCCCACATCAAAGGGGACACAGGATATTTCTTTCTTTGGTATAATTCCTCCACAGAGATGATTATCTTCATTAAATATACTTTTGCCTTCAAGCTTTTATGGGATTAAAACAGTGTTTTTTACTCTCAAGCATTTAACCATCTGTCCACATGAATGAAATACACACCAGAATATCCTATGTGCCTAGACTGGGTGGTTTCATTAGATTTTCAGTTTTAATGCTGGATATTTTTTCATAACAAAATAAATACTAAAACGACTGCTTCCTCCAGCTCTATCTGAATAAAGAGTGATTTTACTTTGATTTTATTCATAACTTCGGCCCCCCCAGTTTTTAATTATTTGTCAAATAATATATCTCTGATGAAACTGGTTTAGGTTTTGAGCTCTTTGGTGAGAAACTGCATGTGGTCTCTTTATTGCTAATGGGAAGTGCTAGTATTCTCAACAGTTCGTGATTTCAGAAAATTCATTCAATTATTTTATGTAAATAAATTGGATTGAGACTTGAGCTGCTACCTTGGGATCTACCTTTCCTTTGGTTACACGAACGCTGATGCTGAGCTCTCCCAGACAGAAGAAGATTAACTGTGTCCCTGGAGCCATTGTCTGGCTCTTTGTGTTGTTTTCCATTATGGAAGGAGGTAGTCTCTTTGCTCAGATTCTGAAAATCACCCTGACAGTTTTCCAGGGGAGGACCCTAATATAATTTCCAATCGCAGATTCTGTCTGTAATTATGGTGGCTGCCTTCTGTTTGATTTTATGTGAAGATCTGTCAGCTGGTCAGGTTTTATAGTTTTGCTTGTTCAGGAAACTATAATTTTCACCGAGAGTGAATTCACCTCCTAATCAAATGGGTTAAATCCCCCGAGTGTTTGCTTTAACTCCTAATACATTTTGATTAGCCTCCATTTGACAACGGAAAGGGATGGCCTGGGAGATAAGCCGCTCTATGGGCTCATCAGTTTCATTAAGCTGTCAGCATGTGCTGATTATCCTATCAAGTTTATCAACAGCCTTGACTGTGTTTTCTAATTCACACATTTACATATTATTAGTGCCCTTTACAGATCGGCGATGCATTGTAATGTCTGCTTAGATTCAACCAGCGAGTATTCATATTTATACTCTTATTCACCCCTTCAAGGCCACTACCCCTAAGTGGTGTGTGTGTGTGTGTGTGTGTGTGTGTGTGTGTGTGTGTGTGTGTGTGTTTCTATTCTTTGCTTCAGAGCAAAGAGAATGCATGTAAAAATATGACTGTACTAGAATGTTGTTGTAATAAATTCACTGAAGTTCTTTTAAAAGATCCCAGATAGTCCTTTAGAGTTTTCCTTCTTCTGAACATTTTAGAAGTATGTGTTGCATGCCCTTTCTCTTGCTCTGAACACCGGATGAACAGATTTTTTTCCCACTTTTGTTGTAATTCAAAGCAGCGTTGACTAATTTGTTCTTCAACATCAGTTCTCCGTATTTTCAGATCCCTCATTTAATTTTACCATGATGTGCATATATGAGCGCACATTTAATCTAAAATATATTCTTATTATTCGCTTTCATTCCATAGGACCAAGGTGTGGTAGTAACTAGTAGGGGAATGTCTTCCTTGAAGAATTATGTGAACTTCAAACCTTCAGAAATATAACAAACAGATACTATAAAAGTTAAACTTTTGATTAAATAAATAAGGCATGTGAACACATACAGTGTTTAGTGACCAGGTCAAAAGGTCATGTTAAGTTTGCTCATAAAGAGTATGTGGCTTTAATTTTGTGAGTCTTATTGGACTCGTGAAATATTAAGTTGAGATAGATGGCAGTTCAGATCTCAGTGTAGGCTCTAAAACCAGAGAGCCTGGGTTCAGATTGAAAGTTTCTGACAAGCTACTTAATTATACAGCTTTGGTGTTCTCGTTCATAAGCCAACTGTGATAGTAGTTCCCATTTGAAAATTGATTAAAATTATGAATATAAAAGTATTGGCCTGGAGGTCTGACCTGGTGCATGCTCTATACATTGGCCTGCCATCGCAGCATCCATCGTTTCTATAGAGCGCCCACCTCCAAGAGTGGATGGGAATATTCACTGTCATGATCTTTCCCAACTTAGTATTATTACTCCATAGACAATTATAGTCATAGTGGAGAGCTAGAAGCCAGAGAAGTAAAGCAAACTCAAGTGATTGTTAATTTATTTTATTTTCTGGCCCACATCCCATTTTTGTCTGCAGCCACAGTCAAAATCCTCCCTTTGCTATTGTCTATAATAATTGAAAGTGAACCAGCACGGTTATCAATTCCTGTTGATTTAATTCTCTTTTTTTTGTTATGATGTATTTTCACTCTATTCTTAATAAAAAAAAAAATCTTTTATTCTGTCACCCACTAAAGGTATTTATTGGGTCTCAATTCCTTTTCTTTGTCTGTGAAACATTAGGTAAATAACAGTAGCATGTGATATCAGTGGTAAAAGTCTCGTGTCTTAAAAGTTCTGATAACGCCAGGATTTCTGATTCTTCTTCGAATCCCCCATGACAGCGCCCCTTACCAGCAGGAAGTATTTTGGAAAGAACAACGCCTAAATTCCCAAATATTGTGTATAAATGTTTGTTTTCATTTAATTGGACTTTGTTATATAAAATAAAATAAATTAATAAAATAAAAAAAGAAAAAGAAAAAAAGTTCTGATAACATAATCTATTTAATTTTTCAAAATAGGAAATTAACTCCCAGAGAACCGAGTTCTATGGTTGGGATTGCAGTATATGTTGGAGGGAGAAATATAAGTTTGTGATTTAAATCCAAAGAAGCTTTTCTGTGTACCCAGTTGGTGCCAGTGAATTGGGCTCATCCTTTCCTTTATGAGATCTCTCTGCCCCCATCTCCTTACTGCTGGAATTACAACCACACTTTTAAAAATAAGCAAAAATCAAAACATGTAGATATAAGGGACATGGTGCCCACGGCTTGTGATTAATAGCCACTGCATGAGTCATGCAGCCCATCTAGAGATTTCAGTGCAGCATAGTTGTGAGCACCTTCTGTCTTTCTCCATCCTCTAAGTGGCTCATTCCCCTTATCTCTGCTTAGGCGCCTCTGTTGTTGAAAGATTCTAAAGGATTATAGAAAGCTCAATTAGCTTGTAACTTCCCATTGTTTTTCTATCAGTTTGAGCTCTTCTGATCCCAGAGGTCATTTTAAGCCTATTTACTATCGAAAATAAAATTACTGTGCATTCTAAATGCAAAGTAATTGTTTAGTTTAATTATACAAGTGATTTAGTCCATTTCATTTTGGTAATACAGCTTGGAGTACGAGAGGACAAGGCTTACAATCTAGTCAGTGCAGTCTGTAATCACTGTTTGAATAATTAGAATCACTTAAAACATCTCTTTGCTATTCTGACTGGAACGACCAAATAAATAAGAACAACTCAGCTTTAGACTCTCCAGTGTGGTCCTGGGGTCACCCTTGCCATACGTGCTCACAATTTCCATCCCTCTTAGCGTGCATCTTAGTAACACGTCTTGTGCATTTATCATCTAGGAGAAAGTGTGTGGCTTTTCCCATCAACTTCCCGGTCATGCCTCTGTATTTTACAATTAGCCATTGGTTTTGTCAATAGTGTTTAGAACATCTTCTGCTGATTCCAGTT